ATATGGCCGAGAAACAGTCTTATTGGGTCACCCGGTACAATTAGAAGTTTCTCAGACAGCTTGGGATGCGTGCTGCTATTGTCTAAAGAAATTCTTCGAAATAAAGAAAGAGGAAATCTCGCAACGAGACAGTAGTTACCATCCGAACGTGTCGCGTATGCAAATTGCAATTATTATCGTATGCGTGTATGTTAATCCCGTATCCTGTCTCGCATGTAATAAATCCCTCCCATACAAATTCGTCAAGTAGGCCATTACCAGTGGGTCAAGTACGTTCCCAATACGATTACGAAACGCGACGAATATTATCGCAAAAATGGAAAGTGTTCTCGATACGCGCCGTAATAATAGAATCCGCGACCTGGGAGAAAGTTGTTTACTGTTTATATTTATAGCCAATTTCTTCGAGCGCAATTTCGTACAATAAAGAACCTTGGATGGCCTGCCTGCCTCCTTGGTTATGGCGTATCGTAATGGTAATGTTACGACCTAGTTTGCGCCCGACGTGGAAAAAAAAACGGGACTCATTTTAGATATAAGAGCGCTTTGGGGCAGTTGTTCAACGGTGCATACAATACAACAAATTGTTGGAAATTAGATATTGCTAAAGGTTCAATTGCATTTTGCACGTTTTTATGAATATGACATAAATATGATTTGTACAGGTTTTTAGCTCGCCCAATTGCTTAACAAATAAATGTTGAAGGTGACAATTTACATACTTCAACATTCCGATGGACCATTTTTATTACACTTAACGTATTAGTCGCTCACGACTCTACCTTTCAAAGTTAGATCTCGAGTGTTCTCAGAAATCTGTCACCAGGTATCATTTTTGGAAAATTACTTAATAAACTGGGATCCTGCTTCGCCATTGTATCAGGAAAATGGCAAATTCCGTTTGAAAAATCACCTTACTATCGAGGGGGCGATCGGAGGGAAATACGCCCTAGTATAGCTACGTAGGTATACTTCATTCAGAGCATACAAATGATGTCATAATGAATGTAGAAAAAGTCAACTCTATCCCCTAGCACCAGGGCCGCCATTTCAGCCCCCCCCCCCCTAAAGTATTCGAAAAAATAATCAAAATACTCACGTACTACAAGATATTTCGAAAACTATCAAGGTATAGGACATTATTATAAAAAGTTGAAGGTTTTTGGAGGAGCTAAAAGATGACAGAAAAATATATAGGGTGTTCCATTTAATAAAAGTGAGATTTTTTAATATGAAGTTTTGCAACTTTGGACCTACCAAAAAAATAACACCCTGTAAGCTATATTTTTAATGTTTCATAGTAGATGTATTTATTTGACTTTTACTTAACCCAGGATAAAAAATATAAAACCTGGAATCAAAATTTAAGTAATAATTTTGACAATATACTGACGCAATTTTTCTTACAAATCGAATTATCTTTAAAACTACTAGTTTTTCGGATATTAACCATATAATAAAAAAGACGTACAAGTTACATGTAGAATTCAAAAATGCATTCAAATACAGGGGGTTCTATTTAAAAAATTGTACCATTTTGGCACCCTACTTTGTAAGCGCACCCTGTATAATTCTAAATATTTTTAAAATGTGGAGAATATTCAACCATATCATAATACAAAAGCACTCTATCGAAAAATCTTATCTTCAAGGCATTAAGTTAATCCGCGCAATCGTTGACTCACCCTGTACAAAACCAACGGCCGCCACTTACTCCTGAGCGCCCCTACCGCCCCCTTTGGGAACCTATGGTATAACGCACATCTATGTAAATGTACCTAGGTAGTACTGGTACATAGTACCGTGTGTTCTCTTTTGGTTGAGACTGCAGTGTATCTCATTTGTTTTTAATGATAAAGACTTGCGGTTTTCGCGACCCTGTGCCACTTGGAATGTTATCATATCTTACTACCCATGTAAGATAGAAAGAAAAAAAACTGTTTAATTTAAATATTTTTATGTAGAATCCAGTGGCGGAGTAGTGGGCCACTGTTTCTGAGATTTTACCTAATACTGGTATTTTTAAATGCAACACCCTATACAGGGTGTCTTAAATTGAGTAAGATAGCATGGCGAGCTTTGTTATTTTTATACTTACAGATTCGGTTAAATTGGTTTTGTAGTTTTTGATGCTAATGGATATTCCGATGCGACATTTTGAAAAAATAAATCGTTTCGTAGATAATTCAAAAAAGTGAAAATCGCCATTTTTAAAAAGTTCAAATATTTTAGTAACAAAGAGAGCTATCGAAAAAAGTTTCAAATAAAAGTTGCAAGATTGAATGGGATAAATTCAATGAACGTAAAACAAACATTTTTTAAATGGCGGTTTCCGAGAATGACATCGACTTTCTTATTTTAAATGGACGCCATATTGGATTTTTCCGTCACTCGATAGAGAAAAAAATTACAAAACCAGTGATACTAAACACTTAGTATTTCATTTGGGAATCAACCTTACAATTTTGCCTCGAAGTTTACAATGTATTTCTTATGGCAATAATTCCAATTTAACCGAATCTGTAAGTATAAAAAAAACAAAGATAGCCATGCTATCCTACTCAATTTAAGACACCCTGTATATTTTGACGTCAATTTTTTGCCATTGTTTTCCCGATTACAGTGATGTCTCACAATCCATATTTTTTGTATACATATACATAAATTAAGTATATTTTATATCATATTTTTCAAAATTTTGAAATGGCATGTTTCTATCACCAGCCATTTCTGTTGATTGGGTATCGGTTGCTATGGATACAATAAATAAAACAAAATCTCCATAAATCCATGGCCTACTATTTAAAAACCTTAAAAAATAAGGTTTTTATTTTTGTTTTATGGCTAAAATTTAACAAAATAGAGGTTGTGATACAGCAATGTAATCAGCAAAAATAATGCAAAATGTTTAAAAGATGTTGTATTTAAAAAATACCAACTTTGGCTCAAATCTCAGAAACGGTGGGCAACATTTTAATGTCACTGGATTCTACGTAAAAATGTTTAAAATAAACTGTTTTTACCTTTTTTCTATCTTACATGGGTAGTAAAATAATATGATATCCCACAAAGTCAAACTTTCCGTTTTCACCCTGTATCTCAGAAACAAACGTAGCTAGATTGACCGCCAATGTGTATCATTAAAAACAGCTGAGATACACTGGAGGCTCAACCAAAAGAAGACACACGCTACATACACTAGTAGTCAAACTTTCACGTAATCGCATCGCTTGACCCCCCCCCCCCTCGTTAAGGTTAAATGGCGCCCTGCCTAGCACAAAAGAATTCGATTACTCCTTCCCGAAAGCTACCACGTCATTTCCTGATTACTGGAGTACTTAGGGTTCTTACGATAATTTTTTATTCAATACCCCCCCCCCCCAAGCCTAAGAACGTTTATGGAATATCTTCCAGGAAAGGAACATTTGACGGAACACCCCAGAAAATAATCACATGCGGAGAACGTAGCACCAGGGGGGAGGGCTGCACAAGAAAAATCGAGAGCTAGAGTCATCAAATCTTCATTTCCTGAAGAGTATTCGGCATTCCCATGATAATTTTTCGGAAATCGACCACCGGGAGGTCTGAGGGTATGGAATATCCCCCAGGGGAAAGACGTATTTGTTCACCCTTTTCAGAACACTATCATGGTAGGTTTTGGGAAAAGGTGATATCTGTGCTGGGGGGTATTCCATACACCCCCGGTGCTATGTTTGACTCCAAAATGTTGAAAGTATTCAGGATTCTCATGATAGTATATCGGAAAACGGCCATCGGGGGTTCGGGGGCTATGGAATAGCCCTCGGAAACACGTATTTGCTCATCCTTCCCAGAACACCAGCATGATAGCTTTTGGGAAAAAGTGATATCTTTGGCGGAAGGTATTCCGTACCCCCAGAGCTACGATTTCAAAGTATTCAGGATTCTCACCGTATTTTTTCGGCAACCGGGCTGTGCTGGGGAGGGGGGGTTATTTAGACCCCCGGTGCTACGTTTTCCTCCATAATGTTCAAAGTATTCAGGACTCTCATAAAATTTTTTTTGGAAAACGGCCACCGGTGTGTGTGTGTGGGGGGGGGGGGGTAATTTGCTCACCCTATCCAGAACACCATCATGGGACGTTTTGGGAAAAGGTGCTGAGGGATGCCCCCCTCCCCTTCCTTATTTAGGATTCTCATGATAGTTTTTCGGAAAATGGCATGGGGGAGGTATATCCCGAGAGCTACGATTTTTGCCAAAATCTAAGAGCTCGCGTGTATGGAATATCTTCCAGGAAAGGAAATTTGACAATCATGCTGATTGCTGTAAATATTTTAGGGAAACATAGTACGGAGGGGTCTAGAGAGAATTAGAATCCCCCCCCCCCCCGCGCGCAGGTATAAGAGAAATCGAGTGCCGATTGCCAAAAGCTAGCATGGCACTTTCTTCTGGAAAGGGGCATCAAATCTTCATTTCCTGAGGAGGGGGGGGGGTCCCTCCGGTGCTACGGTTTCCCCCAAAATACTCAAAGTCCTCAACATCCTCATGATGGTTTCTCAAAAAAATGTTACCGTCTTCCTTTCCAGGAGCGCATTCGTGACTGGACCTGATGCTTGCATGGCATCGTTTTCATGTGGTTTGCGTCTCGGCTAAGCAAGACTCAGTACCCATTCATGGTCTCGATTCGGGTTGCTCTGCGCTAAATCTCATTTTCGAGTGCCTCGACTATCGGTTTCTTTGTCGTTCTTTTCCACTAACCGGCGCAGTATTCTAAACCATTACTAATTCAACGCACAAAAACCCGCGAGCGACGCAGTAATGTCTCTCCTGTAAGGATTTCAAAATAATGAAAGGTAAAAATGATTCTTAATTCGGTAATGGTAACGTTAAGTAATCGAGATGTTCAGCTTCAATTAACAATGAGGTCAAAGATATAACGTTCTACGTTCGGTACGCGGCCGCCGCCCGAATTTTTTTTTCCCCACAAAACTGCGGAGGAAGAGACAGAAAACGGTACCCACCTTGAGATCCTTGAAGAAAATTGAGTTCCTCGCCCAATCGACTTGTGAGAAGAGGTTTTGGTCTAATACTTTACACATTAGTTCAAATAGGTCCACTTCACATTGATTATACGTTTGGTTCTGTAGAAGACTATATAAAGAGTTCTGCCACTCGCGGTCGTCGATACCTTGTATGAAGTCTCTAATAAGGGGCGATATTTTACTGGAAGGGGGTGCACTTCCGCCTGGTAACACTGTTTCGAATTGGAACGTTTTTGGGCTAAGGGAGTGTGGTGACGTCGTCGTCGAGTTCGCGGTGCTCCACAGCTTGTTCTCGTTGCCGCCCATCGCCATGGAGGACTGCGTCCCCGGGACGCCGACGATCTGGAGCGCCGGTTGCTGACTGGAAGCTGGCTGCATTAACGTCGACGCGCTGACCTGTCCAAGAGCGACCGCTATCGGACTCGGCGACGAGTCGGGCGACGACGTCAGAGAAGATACTTGCGGTATTTGAATTTCCTGCTTTATGTGGATGTTGGCGAAGGGCGATGTACCCGGCTGGTTATTGTAGACGCCGCCCTCGCCCAACTGCCCACGTTGAGCGAGGGTCTGCACAGCGAGCTGTCGTTGCCGCATCATCTGTAACTTTCTTGCGCGATCCCTCTTGTACATCGGTCCGAATTTATTCCTACCGCCACGCATTCGGTCCGCTCGAACCGCTGCAAAAAAGACACAACATTAATTAACTACACCTCAATATACGGGGATGGTTATACAATGTTGTCCCCATTTAGGGGTTAGTTAATAGGTCGCCGAATTTTTCATGGGAATTGTTGGTTCAGCATTCTATGGTGAATAAATTGCAAGATTTTATGGTAGGAAGTGAATCTTATGACCCCCCCCCCCACCCGGGTTCTACATTTTTTAAAAGGTACTATCAAACACCCGAACCTGGGGTGTAGGGAATGCTCATCAGAAAACAAGATTTAGTGCTCCTTTTTGGAAGACTACAAGAGTTTTTAGGGGTGATCATTTTGATGGAGACTGTAGCACCGAGGAGTCAAATCCCCCCCCATTCCAAATAAAGGAAATTCAATGACAGAATGTTCCTTTATGGGAATGGATGGAAGGTATTCCATACCCCCCCCAGCACCAGGTGCTACTTTCGTTGGCGTCTTACGAACACGGTAATGAGAATATCGGGGTAGACTGTTTTTGAGAGGATTGTAACATAGGGCGGGATTTCAATGATCTCCCCCCCATAAGAGGAAAATTCAATTACGTTTTCTCTAGGAATCTTCCTTTATTGGAGATGATGAACATATAACCCCCCCCCCCCCCCGCCGCTAGTTCGATGGTGTCTTTCTAAAAACTGTAATGCGAGTAGTGAGGTAGACGGTTTTTGCGGAATGCAACACGGTGGGGGGGGGGGGTTATGAACCTGGCGGAACATAATTATCATAATTTAAAAAAAAAGGAACATTTAATTCGGGAATAGGCCACTTCATTAGCACCTAATTATACAATATGTTTCATTGTGTTCTGCTGACCTTGATCTGCTAGGGTCATGGTCATTTTTGAGAGCTGACTTCATATTCAAAACGGTTTCTAGACACCAAAGACAGTCCTTTCTTCTAATATCCGGAGTATGAAACATTGAAAAATAATTAATTAAGGAACGATCTTACCATCACATTTATTGGGGACAGTGGGGGGGGAGGGGTCAATTTTCCCTGTTAGCAGCATTTTAGATCTCTGACTAAAGGTAAGTGCTCATAAAAAGTTAAATTTATGTCTAATTAGGAGCTAGGTTAAATAATGTAATTACGTTCGCGAGAAATTTTAGAGTAGTCGATTTTTGGTAAAAAAAAAAGGAAGGTTATACACTTGGTTTTTTTCAGACCAGAAAAAAAATTGTCTGAGATCGACCGGGAAAAAACATTTTCTTATAGAATTTGGCCCGTTGTCGAAATTGTTTTTTTGTCACGTGAAAAAAAAGTAGAAAGAAACTGAAGAATCAGAAGAAAATCAGAGGATCGCAAAGTCCGACTAATCTGCAGAATCCGAAGTATCGCACTGATTCAAAGAAACTGAAGAACTTTATGGATCCGATGAAGAATCGGAAAAATCTAAAGAAATGTAAGAATGTGTATGTAATAAATCATATGAGGTCTTATGAGGAATTTAAAGAACTAAAAATTGGACGAATGTGAGAAGTGGAAATTATTAAAGAAATCGCGAAGAACGAAAAGAATCCAAAAAAAGTTGGAAAAAATGAAGAATTAGAAGAAAGAGCAGAAAAGTCCGAGTAATCTGAAGGAAATCCTAAGAATCTGAAAATCAAGAAACGGTACCAACAGCAGAATAATAAGAATGTGATGAATTTTATGGATCTGATGAAGAATCGGAAAAATTGGAAGAATCCGAAGAACTTGAAAAGAATCTTAAGACTCTGCGGGCGATTAAACTGATCTGATGAATTTGAAGAAATAAAAATCATGCGAATCTGAGACGCGGAAAAATTAAAGAGACAGTGAAGAATGGAAAAGAAAAATTTTGACTCAAAAAGTAAAAAAATACTGAAGAAACAAGAGAAAGTGAAAGAGCAGAATAATCTCAATAAACGAGGGATCGAAGCATCTGACGAATTTGAAAAAACCAAAAAAATAAAAATTTTAAAAATTTGAAAACCGAAGTAGGCATTCAACAGAAATCGAAAGAAGAATGTGGATACCTAATTTCAAAATTTGACGAATTTGAAGAATCTAAAAGGGTGAAGAACTCGAAAAATCTGCAATATAGTTTGGTTTCTGAAGAAAGTGAAGAATCAGAGAAGTCTGAATGGCCATAGAATCGGAAGAACTTTTCTGGAAGAATCGTCCGAAAAATCTTAAGAAACTGGAAGATGTGATGAAACTGAAAAAAAAAAAAAAAATCTAAACAATTCGACAACCGGAAAAAATAAACGAAACAGAAGAACGGACAAGACAAAAAAAATGAAGAATCGGGCGAATCCGAAAAACAGAAAAGAAATAAGTCGGAAGAAAATGAAGAATCAGAAGAAAGTCAAAACAAGAAACTGAAGAATTTTATGGATCTGATGAAGAAAATGATCAATTATGGAGGGATCTGTATATGCGAAGCAGAAGAAAAACCACCCTTTTTTGTAGGAAAAAAGCGAGCGAGCAAATTAAAGCCCAATTACCACTCCATCTGCGCCTCTTTTTCCGATCCGCCGAGCAATTTTTCCTTTCATCATCCCATTTAAGAAAGTGTGAAAATAATGGCTTCGCGTATCGATTGACGTCCGCGCGTCGCGCCGTCTTCTGTTTCTGATTTTTAATTACGCGCGCTTCCTGCGTCGCGACGCGATCTGGGGCAAGGTCGCGATTAATTACGCGAAAAAAAAAGAGAGGAGGTTGGGGCGGTATTTCATTACAACAAGCCGAAGTGACCTTGGGATGCACGCGAAATAAATGGACGCATTCGACGGCGGCGTGTGCGGTGAAGGAACGCCGCCGCTTACCGTATAATTACGTAAATATTCATCCCGGCAACGTCGATTCCCCATTCTTTTGATGTATCAATAAAAAATAAGCCGCAGTCTATGTGCGCTAATTATAGATTAGTAGACATTTCAAGGCCTTTCATTTACAAATAAGTACTTACATCCACTTTTTGTTTTGCGTAAATATAACCGTAAACGCCTCGCGCCGTATTAATTCGTTTATAATGAACAAAAGTGAAATCGATTTTAATGTTGAAACGTTTTAATGTTTTGTCTATTTGAACTTTCAGTTATTCTTACCTAACATTTTTATCCAAAAATTTTTTTTTGCCGAAACCAGGTCACCCATAAGCGCCATCTACAATTTGAGGTTATAAAATTGAAATCCCCGACGTTCGGTTACCGGTTTCTCGTTGCGTGAACGTATTATAATTAATTTAAATTTATGACAATGAGAGGCAAAAATGCGTATAATGTCGTACGGAATTCAACCTGTTCCATCCGAGTTTTGGGTTAGAATCAACCTGACCTCTCACATTTAAATTTCCATTTCTCATGATCGTTTTTTGTGCCGCAAAGAAAAATTGTGCCGTAGATACCCCCGAAATATATTCTACTTTTTTGCTAGTTTGTGCAGTCAAAAAGAATTACCAGTTCATTAGTACTTACTTTTGTGCCGTTCAACATTTTTGTGCCGTCAGAATTTACACCAACCTCTACTTTACAGGGTGTCTTCGACGTTTAAGGTTTTGTGCCTTTACCAAAAACTTGTGTGTCGTTCAAATAGAGACATCCTGGAATATTACTTTTCAAAACAGATTTGTGTCTGCTTTGTGCCGCTGCAAAGTGTTGTGATAATTATGTGCCGTCACAGGGAGGGAGGGAGGGAAGACAGGAAGAAGGCCCTTTGATATTTTCTGATGACACGCTTCCAGAAGGATTGAATACTTAAACAATCAATCCAAAGCAGTAAATTTTAAACGCCCCCCTCCCCTTCACTTGGATACCGCCTTGTATTAGATCCCTATAACGGGCGATCATAAATAAGTTGCTCTCAAGTCGACTTTGGAAATTCAAGTTAAGTACGATTTCCCATGCAAAGGTGACTCGATAGTAACTCATTTTTGATCGCATAGTAGTACAAATAGCGATCTTTGCTGGCCTCCCTGTAGATTAGTTTCTGATGTGGCAGCGTATCGGCCGAATTACCTCACGGAATTGGATCGAAGGGAAAATGACTGTGGAATTTTGGTGTACACATTTTGTAGAATTTTTTTAAAATCCTTTAGAATTTTTTTCGAAATTTTCAGAATTTTAGTTTACACAAAATTTGAAAGAGAAAATCGGCGTAGAATTTTGGTGTACACAGCGTTTTGTAGAATTAATGATCTAGAATTTTTGTTAAAATTTTAGAATTTCTTTTAGAATTATAGTCTAGAATTTTTTTAATTTTTAAATACTTTGAAATTTTTAAAAAATTTTCTTCAATTTCTTCCAAACGCACATGCACACCGAATTATTTTATACAATTTTTAAATTTTCTAGAATTTTTTTTAAATTTTAGAATTGTAGTGTAGAATTTTTTTTAATTTTCAAATACTTTCAAATTTTTTGAAAATTTTCTTAAATTTTTTCCAAACGCACATGCACACACATTTATTTCATACAATTTTTAAATTTTCTAGGATTTTTGAATTTTTTTGGAACTTTTCTTGAATTTATTTCCTCAGATGCAGTTTTTGAAAGTAAAATTGGTTTCAGATTTTACATACGCATGCCAGTGGTGCCAAGTAAAATTTTTAAACATGAAAGGGGGAGGACGTGGGATGAACACACGCCCTGTCTTTCATGGTATTCTAGGAAAGGTCTCATCGAAATGAATTTGTTCCTCCAAACTATTACTTTTGCGCGTAACTCCTTTTCGAGATTAATGGATGAGCGAGTGGGGGAGGGGGGGAGGAGGGAAGAGGAGCGGTTGGTTTCATCCTTCATGAAAGTTCTCATCGAAAAGCATTAATTTCTGCCAATCATAGTCCTACTCCTCGATCGTGATCGGATATAATTCTTTATATTCCAAGAACATCTTGAAGAAATATATCCATTGGAAATCTCAAAACTTTAAAAGCGAATATTTAGAGGAGGAAAGTACTTTCACAATGCACATGTACACAATTATTATTTTATACAATTTTTCGAATATCTTTTAGAATT